ACATAAGGAAGAACTTTTTCTCTCAGAGAGTGGTCAGGCACTGGAATGGCTGCCCAGGGAGGTGGTGGAGTCGCCGTCCCTGGCAGTGTTCAAGAGGCGTGTGGATGAGGAGCTGTGAGATGTGGTTTAGTGCTTGTGATGGCAATGGTGATGGGGAGACGATTGGACTGGATGATCTTATAGGTCGTTTCCAACCTTGTGATTCTATGATTCCATGATTCTATGATTCACTGTGACTACAGTGCTACAGCTAGCTTAGGATGAGGTGAGTTGTGTCCTAGAAGCACCTACTTCTTCACTGATTTGACAGGGAATCCGTGAGAGTTATTCAGCTGAGTATTTTGAAGCTTCTGCTGTAGAATGAGTCACATCTCAACAACTTCTACTTCTCTTTGTCTACTTGTAAAGCCAGCTTTAAATTACTAACTCATATGTAGACTTTTAAATTGGAGATGTCTGCATTAAGGCATTGACAATTTTTTAACAGTAATATTTTAAAAAATTAAATGTTTTAACAATATGATTTCTGTTGCCTGTAGAACTGTAGCAGTGACACAAGGAGAAAAGTACAAGTTAAGGTAGATATATTGTGCTGAAATGGCAGTACATCCATGCCTGCACATGCAGAAAAAATGTTTTGAGATCTTGCAGTGATTGTGCTTGGTCATGAAGGTAAATAATTCTGTCAAGCTCTAACCACTATGCAAAATAATTTTTCACATAATTTTGATACTAATCTGCCTTCCTTATCTTTGTTTGATTTTCTCCTTAATATCAATCAGGTAAAGAATTTAAAATGTCTTATTTAGTAATGATGCATGTGTGTCCTTGTCTTGTAAAGTCTTGGAGAGCTTCCGTGTTTGGTCTACCTAATGAAAAAGAGAAACTACAGCTACTTCCTTTTTCTTAAAAATGTCACTTTGGAGAGACATGAGGGAAGGGGAGAGGAAGTTGACCTTTCTTATAGGGATGGAAAGAAAATGATATTGCTAGCCAAAAATTCTCCATTTTATCAGTGTGAACTTGACTGCCACGTCTTCCCTTGATAGCTTTCTAGAACCTAGAATACTCTGGATGATCATCTGTTTGGGGAAAGTAGCCCTTTAACCTGATGCACAGTGTTCAAATCAAGATATAACGATATAATCTTATATTCACTGAATAAACTAAGTTGTTTATTTAAATACTAAGTTGTTTACTTAAATACTAGAAATACACTACAACCATGAGAAAATCTGGTGTAAGAAAGAACTTTACACTTCATTAAACTTTACACTTCACTTAGGAAATTCTGCATATGAACCAGCTAAAAAAGAAGTTCCTTGGAAATACTTGACGTTAAGATGAATATATGACACTAAACCAGACTGAATCACAAGACATATTTTAACTACACAAGCCTCCATCTAGGGTTTATTGGAAGTATGCAAATAGGTGTCTCTTTGTCACCACTTGAAACTTCTTGAAGCTAAGCACAGTATTTGAAGCTTTTACATCTAATAGCTTTACGATTGGGGTAGTAAATCAAGGGAAAGAGGAGTGGGAGTGATGCTGAAGTCCTAGCAAATATAAAGCTAATGAGATGGATGTAGGCCATGTACACATAGTACCTATCACAGCTGAATCTGTCCTTCAATCTGTTTTTATTTACCAAGAATTGCAGTCTTGTCATTGCTCTGCACAGTTATTAGCCTACAGTATGTTTCTTGGCAACTACATGTAGAAGATATACAGATAAATAGATTTATCTTCTTCCTTCACGAGATTCATTTTATTTCAGATTTTTCTCTGAACTTCATATTGTCAGATTTCTTGATCTTCTACTCTGTGAGCATGGAAGATCCCGTTTGGGGTATGCAATGAGTTTCTAACTAAGGCAGGACAAGGAGGGGCCAAGACAGTCTGCTGTTGGGGAAAGAGAGGAGAGAGAAAGAAGACAGCCCTCTGCACTTGGTGCTGCACTGACCATAAACCAGCCGTGCTACTCAAGTGAGCTCGTTAAATCTGGGAAGGGAGATAGGAGACATGTGTGTAAGTCTCACACTTAGCATGCTCCATCTTAGTGTTGTCCATAAAATTTAGGCTCCTAAAGCCTTCTCTTCTGATTAAATTCTCTTGATTGACTAGCAATCTCTACTTAGAAAAATGTGAGAATGTACATTTCCTCTTCTGAGACAAACAAATCCCAAAGTGCTGGCACAAATTCATGCCGGTGCTGTCCTATTTGCTGCACTTTCTGTGTTGAGTTGTTATGAGAACTGTTTGTGGTTAACATGTTCAAACACGTGTCAAGATTTGTCATATATTCAGGAAGATATAGATTTTCCTATCACTGCTTGCATTGTTTTGTTCTTGTGACTTTCTGAACTCTTTATAGATTATGGTGAAAATTTTAAGCCTTCACAAAAGACTGCAGGTGATTAGTGGGCAGAGATTGATAGCTGGGAAGGACATGTGAAAGAGTTGAAGGAATACTGGTGTGGTTTCTGAACAAGTATTCTGAGTCCTTTTCTTCTCTTCTGCCTTTCCTTGTGAAATTACTGGGACCAAAGGTGGAGCCTGGCTCTGTAGCCTAATGATACAGAGTGGGAGAGAAGATCTCTGAAATCATCAGATGAAATTTTATGTAATATGTGCGACAAAGTTCAGTCGTTCTTGCTCCCAAAAGAGTGACCTTCCTGGTAGCCATACAATCTAAGTGCTGAGTAAGGAGCCTATATACCCTGACACCCATAGTAGCCTTCTTTGCTGGGTAGGTATCTAAAGTACTACATGCCAAAAGTAGATGATCACAGAAATGATATGAATACTACTCTTCTTATGTATTCACTGGAGTTTTATCTTAGTTTCCAGTTGATGTGCCCACGTTTTTGTCATGGATTTACGTTCTTCTGGAACTGTTTCACTAGAGTTGAGGAGAGAACTGAGGTCATGAAGAAGCTTGTGTTCCAGTGCCCTGTCATTCCCGGAGTCCTTTGAGAACCTTTCTTTAAATGCAGACATGTTTTGTTAAAGGCAGCCTTCACTAAGATGCCATAGATGATGGCCTTCCTCTTGTCAAATCTCATTTAACTTCTTCATAGCATGAAAAGATAAGGGGTTAAAGGCAGTCTAAGTTTTTTCTTTCTCATCTTAGAACTATGGCCTGTGTTTGGTGTTACATCCAACCCCATGAGAAGTCATAAAATATGATAGAATAAAAAGAAAATCAGTATTTCCCACAGCAGAACTGAAATTATTATTCTAAAAGTTTCATTTTCTCACTAGATTATTAATAACAACCTTGTAAATAATCTGGAAAAGTTTTCCTTTCTACTTGCAGCAATGAAATGCTTTCTGTATGTTTATACAAATGTCAGTGGATAAGATAAGAATCCTTAGATAGATAAATTGCCCAGACATGAAGTTTCTACATTGTTTTTAATGTACTGTAATTTAATGCACTAATTTGATATATACCGTTTATGTATTTTGGATGGTCCTTATCTCTTTCTGTTCATTTCATTCTGCTGTCTACCATAATTCTTGAGGAACAGCAGATGTTAAATAGTCATAACTACAGAAAAGTAGCATAAAGCAGAATGGCAGAACTTGAGGAAGAACTTGACCTTTCTGAGTACCACTTTGGCCTTCAGAGTTTTGCAGTGGGATTAAAAGTGATGCTTGAGTGATGACAGTAGATCATCTGCAATGAAATCAAGTCCCAAGGCAAGCATGAGCATGAGCACAGGAATGTTGTTTTATTTTTTTTAATAGGTAGGAGAAGGGCACCACAAAGGCTGATTTTCTTCAATGTCAGTTTTTAATGAACTGTTCTTTTTATTTTATTTTTTCCCTAGAAGGTAGACTGGAAAAAGTCTGTGCATAATTTTTGGTTAAACTTTAAATCAGCTATTTTACTTTTGTCTTTACTCAAATGGTATTCTGGGCTTCATCAGAAGAGGGGTGCCCAGCAGGGCCAGGGAGGTGATTGTTCCTCTTTACTCTGCCCTCGTGAGGCCCCATCTGGAGTTCTGTGTCCAGGTCTGAAGCCTCCAATACAAGAAAGACAGGGAGCTGTTGGAGAGGGTCCAGAGGAGGGCCACAAAGGTGATCAGGGGACTGGAGCACCTCCTCTATGAGGACAGGCTGAGGGAGCTGGGCTTGTTCAGCCTGGAGAAAAGAAGGCTGCAGGGTGACCTCATTGTAGCCTTTCAGTACCTAAAAGGAGCCTACAAACAGGAGAGGAATCAACTCTTTGAAAGGGTTGATAACAGCAGGAAAAGGGGAAATGGTTTTAAGTTGAGAGAGGGGAGATTTAGGTTGGATGTCGGGGGGAGGTTCGTTACTATGAGAGTGGTGAGGTGCAACATCCCTGGAGGTGTTCAAGGCCAGGTTGGATGGAGCCCTGGGCAGCCTGGTCTAGCATTAAATGTGGAGGTTTTTGGCCCTGCATGTGGCAAGGGATTGGAGATTCATGGTCCTTGAGGTCCCTTCTGACCCTGGCCATTCTGTGATTCTCTGAAAGGCAGACTTGGAAATGCTGACAGAAACTATGAGGGACTTGTTTTTTGTTAAGGAATGTTTACAATGCTTCAGCATTCTCAAGGGCAGCCTTTGTCTTCTCAGGTCAGCATGCAGCATATTCTGACCAGTTCCTTTACTAGAAATCAAAGTTTTATTTGAATAAAATAAAACTGGTTTCAGGTAGAATAAATCTTTCTCAACCAGATTGAGAAACAGTCACTCGGTTTGGATTGAAATTCTGAAAAAAAAAAAAAAAAAAAGAGCAACTTTCTGAGTCATAGGCAGTGCAGTACACAGATTTTGAAATGTAACAGTCTGTAGTTGTGAGGAAGTTGAAGGTAAAGAAATCCCCTATTCTTGGTTCTTGACCTAAGACTCTGGGTGAAAACATTAAAATGTACGTTTAAAATAGAAAGGCCATCTGCAGCTAAGTACAAAGTACATTTGCTGTATTTAAAGTCTTTATTTTTTTAACATTTCATTTTGACTTTTAGATTTCTGGGATTTGCTACAATAGCAGTATATTAAAAGTTCATCGAATTCTTTGTGTACCCAGCTGGGTAGCAAAGATATTTTCCTGGACTCTTGAACCAATCTTCTCGTCTGCGGAACCAACGAATGAAATCCGAGTGGGAATGGGAGCAACAGTCGACATCCAGAGGCAGCAGAGAATGGAGCTCCTGGATCGACAAATCATGATGTCTCAGGTTGCCCAAATGAGGAGACAAAGGCAGCAGCAGGTACTGATGCATGCTCCATAAAGATTATGTTTATGGGAAACATATGTTTTCAGTTTGTATATTTTATGGTTCCTGCTTGATATATTCTTCTCAATTGGTTTTTCATACCCTGGCTATTGGCCATTCAGGTGTTTCTGTAACTTTAATGTTAAAATCGTTTTGCAAGATAGAAGCAGAGCATCCGACAGTCCTGTAAGGATATCAATACATCTGGCATTTCTTTCTCCAAAAGTCAGCCTGAAAGGTAAAGTGCCTGCCTCTCCTTTTACTAAAGACAGTAAGCTGTTGGTGAAAGTTAGCAAGTTCTGTCTGTTCTGAGTATTTGTATTGTTTGCATCCTTTTCGGAGAAAATTATCTACACAATAACTTTATTTGCAAATGTACTTTGAATAAGGCTTGCATCTTTGAGAAAGTTCTGAAATTCAATCGTCTAACTCCCTTACAGAGGTCAACCACAGGAACTTTCTCTTTGCTGCATTTAGTGTTCATTTTATTTCCTTACTGAATGGAATAGCAGAGCCCTTTGTTTTCTCTGTTTTAGTCAAGGCAGTGAAAGACGTTCACATGTTTTCTGTTGTACTGCAGAACAAGGCAGACAGTGTCTCAATTAACTTCTTCCTATGCCTTAAAAATATATGTTGCTGCTCTATCAAACTTAGCAGATATGGGCCTTAGATTTCTCTATGTGAGCATACCTTGTTCATTATTTTGTTACAGTCTGACAATTTGTGATCTTTATTGAGTTTTCTCTGACTGAAATGCAGCTCTGTACTGATATATGAATTCTTAGTATGTTCATGGTAGCTTGTAAATACACCTGTGTTACCATTAATATGTTGGCAGAATTAGATGTAGGATAGCATAAAGCTTAGGCTCTGGCTAACAACTAGAGTATATATCTTTGTTTCCCTGGAATTTGGTTTTCTTCCATTTCTTAACATTTTGATCTGAATAAATTGTTCCTCAGGTGGAAAGATTCTAATTTCTATCCCCATTACAACATTTACCAGTTTTAATGTAATAAATAAGAAATGAACTAGAAATAATTCAACAACAGTGTTCTGATAGAAGGCTCTTAGAAGGTGTCTTTCGGGCCACAAGCTGTTGTGAACATTCAGCTAAGTTTCTTCAAATTAGAAGAGAAAGAAATTGCCAATTATGAAAGACAATCTTTATAATATATTTTGAACTGCAAGAAGCATTAAATAAGTTCAGAATTATAAATGTTAAGAGTTGATAATGTTTTCTTCCTATCCTTCTCCTTTTCCTGGGATTACAAACAATGAAATTGGCAAAATGTCTTTTCACTATTGATTTCAAATAGAGGTTTTTTATAAAATATGGGGGAGTTTAAGTAAAATAAGTGAGTGTTGTTTGAGCAGCAGTGACATGGTTTACCTTAAAAGTTGCTGAAACTCTTTCAAATCGCCTACATTGACTGGTCTTTAACTTTGGAGCGGCATTTTGTGATCTGATAGTGCTAAATTGTGAAACCGGTGAGCAGAAGGCAAAGGATTCGATGTGTGAACGTTTCAGAAAAGTTCTTCAGAAAAGATGTGTTAGGAAAGCATTTGCTGGGCTTTGTTTATGACTCACAAAATTTACTGGATATCAGCAAAACCATGAATAAGTGCCCTTCACAAAAGCTGAGATGCAATGGTACAAAAAGACAAACAGGATAATTTCAGTCTCAGTGTTCAAAACTTGAAAACAGTTTTCCAGATTGTTGTAACTGTGCAATTCTTTTGCTTTTAGAAGCTTATAAAGGTATAATTTGAAGACAGTGGAGTTGAACGCATCGCACTGCAGATGGAATTTAGATGGTAAATGCTACTGCTGGGGCTGAAGCTGGTAAAGAACACCAGTCAGTGTCACTGGGAGGTTTTTTGTGAAACTAACAGTAATAAAAGCTGTGAAGTGTATCAATCAAGTTGTCAAATACAAGTTAGAGTTACATTGCAAGGGGATATTGTGCAGATTTTTGGCAATATTTGCAGATTTGGCAATATGCTGTCCATAGATGAGATAAATGAATGTTTTCTCTCCTGCTTTCCATGTTGTTTGCCAAGGAAAGGAAACTTTAACTTTCCTCTGCACGTCATTGTGCAACTATTTTTTTGTTATCCCTTGGGGAGGCATTCTGTTTGTTCCTCCTTTTCCTTTACTCTACAATTCTTCTGTTTGGGAAGAGGCAGTGCACTTTCCCTGTGTACTGTTAGCATATGGAAAACACAGGAATGCAGTGTGTGGTTTTAACAGTGCTGCATTGTCCTGCAGAATGTGGCAAACTGTCCTCTGGCTGTAAAGAAGCCCCTTTCTTAAATGGGCCCTTTTTGTACTAAGCTCATTCTTCAGGTTTTACAAGAAATTCTGAAGAATGTGAGCCTGATGTACAAAAAAAAAAGAAAGCTTAAAAACAACAGGGAAAAAATAGGGGAAAAAACTTTCTTAAGTTGTTTAAACTATATCTCTAAGATGCTAAAATATAGAGGGTTTTTGGTTTTTTTTTTTTTTCTGTTCACATTTACGGAGTTCTTTTATTTGAAACAGAATTAATTTTGGGTGTTTTCTATGGGAAGAAAACAAAAAAAACAAAACCAAAAAGAACACAGAATTTCCTTGCTGGCAGTTCTTAGAGCTTTGCCTTGCCCAGTCTTTCTCTCCCAGAAATGTTGCCTGCAGGATGCTGAAGCAGAGAGGTGTGCTTGTGGCTGCTGGGCTGCCAGCCACTCACAGCTTCCAGGACCAGGTTGAGTGAGGGACACAGCCTGAGCATAAGCCACCAGCTTCACTACTTGATGTACGTGGTTTTGATTTAGCCCTGAGTTGTGCAGTGCTGCTGTGTCTGAACGTGTTGTTAGAAACTGAAAAATCACCTTACGTTGCTAGTTTCACAGGGGAGTGTGGTTACATGGTGTCTGATTTTTGTCTTGCTTTCTAGTTGCTATGGATACAATCCTTAACCAGATGGTGGTGTGCATGTTGAAAAATTTTTGTCCCTTTTTCCCCTCCAATGATAATCCTGACAAATTCTGAACCTGTCAGTTCAGAATTACTGAACATCACCTCCATCACCTTTTGAGGCAGTGAAATAACATGTGTGCCACATGTAGTCATGCCCTCAAAAAATATCAGCTTGCTATTTTTTCCTTTTTAAACCCCAGTTTCTTAATTCTTTTCTTTCTCTCTCTTTTGTCAGTCCTCTTTTCTCATTTTAGTAATGTGTCCTCTTCTTTTCCCTTTTTTCCATAAATCTGATCTCTTTTTTTCCTTTGTATCATTTTCACGTTTTCATTCCCCACTATGTCATTTTCCTCCCAGATTTTCATCTCTTCCCCTTCATTTCTATTATTTCCCATACTTTGTGTTTCCTCCTCTACGTCCTTCTTTGCTCTGGAGAAAATTCTTTCCCATCACATCTTACCCATCAGTCCGCATTTACAATGCATCCTGAAGGCGTCGATGCAACTTCCCTTTCTCTCGCTCCAAACAGGAGATAGTTTATATCTTCAGGCACTATTTTATCCTTTTTATTATGTAATATCAATGGATCTTTTTGGTCTTTCTCTCCTGACTTTTGCATTTCTGGATCTGTTTCATTTCCCAACTCTTTTCTGAAGCTTGTCTTTCTGTAACGCAAATGAAAGCCCTGGTGAGAAAGGGGAAGAAATTGCTGCATGTGTGCACTGGGGTGCTAGCAGGGAGCCAGCCTGACTTTCACTTCCCATTGACAAGCTTAGAGGGAGGCTGCAGATAACCAAACTGTAAATAGATGAGGGAGGAGTGCGTGCGAGGTGTTGCTGGCAGCACTGATGTCACTGGGTTGTAGGAAGGTTGTGGAAGACTGCAGAAAAGGTGGTCAGCATCTTCTGTTGGCTATTAGGTACCAGTTCTCCTTTTAGTGCTCATTCCTGTGCCCATTCTGTATATGGGATTGGAGAATGAACCCTGGTCCATTCATCTTAAAAAAATGCTCTCAGTAGCCTTCATTCACATTGAGCATGTTGAAGACACTGTTGCCTGCCTCCTGGTTTCTCTTAACTTTTTGGTTCAAAAAAGAGTATCACTGAGGTGCTCAAGGGTCTGTGATAAGCCTACAGCAATATATGAAAATCTTTTCTACTATTTCCTCTACTTTTAAGCTTTTTTTGTGGGGTGGGTGTTGTTCTCCCTCCTGTCTTTGTTTTTCTGTTCCAGCTCCTGGTACTTTTTAGTGAGGCCGGACCCCCTTTGATTCATATCTCTGATTCCCCTGCTTGCAGAGACCAGACTTCTTCTATAACAATGCTGCTTCCCCTAATTGTTCATTCACTGGATGTCTTCCTCCTGGGACACTGGAGAGATGCTCTGTGGGGAGATGCATTTAGTGTCTTTATTGTTACTGGGCGTCTCATATCCTGAGAAATTTGCAACTTACTTATTTTGTGAGCTAAGGACTGAGGCTAGATTACCAATTTACCTTTCAGTTTTATTTAAGTAGTAAACTTCTGACCTTGGAAAGCAGAATTTAATGGAGCAGTGACTTTCCTAAGACAAGAATTCCTCTTCAGGAATGTTGTCCTTGCTCATGATGCTAGAAACAAATCCCTCAGTGAATACCGACAGTCTATTTCTGCCTTCCCGAGGAAGAACCACATCTGAACATACTTCATTTTCCCACTGATGCAGAGAGGTGCTACTTTAGCAAAGTCTTCTGAAATAGCTTGAGAAGCTTGAGTACCAACTAAAATGCTTCAAGAGGCTTCTTGGGTCCTGAGATGTCTTGCAACCTTTACACATTGCCAGCTCCCTGGAAATTCTCACAGAACGCTAGATGGAAGGAGTTTGTTCATACTGACCCATGGATGTATCTATCATTGTCAGAGAAGAATGTACCAGACAACTTTACTTGAATAAACGAGGGAGGTTTTCACCCAGTGTGATGCAAAATCCTTTTCTCTAATTAGGCTTTTCACTCCAATGTGTGTTACCTATAGGAACTCTGGGATTTTGTGGCATA